TGGACCAACATACGCGATTTTGATAGATTTTGGTTGGTAACCTTTTAATAATATTGTAGCTTTTAAATTGTTTCATTTGTTCTTTTTAAAATTTTATTTGTTTACATGTTATAACAGGTATGAATCACCAGATGCAGGATTTACATCTGATGAAATAAATACCATTCACAACACGACTTTGTCCATGGTGATTAATAGAAACATTCCAAGCACATATTCAACACCAACAAATTTATGGGTGGTTCAACCAGTCGTTGCACCTAATGCCACCGCTCCGAATTCTTCTTATTCTCCATTTAATACCTTAAAATTTTCCAGTACATATCAAGTACAATGGAGAATTGATGGTTCTGATCTTTATTTATTTATGACAATGCAAAGTGCAAATGCCTGGTTTGGTATTGGATTCAATTCGTTGGATGGTGGCATGTTGGTATGTATATATTTTTACTTGATATCATCAAAAAATTTTGATCACGTACTTAACACTTTATTGTGCTTGATGTAGTATGCAGATATGATAATCGTGACTGTTAACAGCTCTACGATAGATGTTGGTCTTTATATGCCCACTGCTTATCAAAAACCTGATCGTGATTTAAATAGTACTTTCCTTACTGTCTTAGGCAAAAATGTAACTAACGGGTACACTCAGGTAGAAGTAAAACGTCCCCTTAACGCTCCTAACCGAAAACCTATTACTAATTCTTTAACAACAAGTAAGCTATCTATTTATCGTTTTGTTCATACCACTATAATACCACTATAATACTCTGTTCATGAACTATCTTTGATTTCTTTTGAACTACCATTTGAATTATCTTTTAAATTATCTTTTAACTTATCTTTCAAATTACTTTTTGAATTACTGTTTGAATTATCTTTATAGCAATTTATGCCTTCAATCCATCAGTCAGTATACTAACTTATCATGGTGGAAATCGGGGGTCTATGAGCATTAACTTTTTTACTGCAGCAACTGCTGGTTCTTTAACTGAGCAATCCAGAACAATGCAATTGGCCCATGGAACTGGCATGTTTTTAATGTGGTGGTATGTATAATATATATTTTTTCCTTTATTACCTTTTACACTACAGATTTTAATTCTAATTATTGCATTTCTCCTTTACAGTGTCTTATTCCCAGGTATTTACAAAAAAACGATAATTAGGTTTAAAATTTAATGGTAACTTACATTTCTTTACTTAATAAATAAAGCGTCAATATGGATCGTTAGGTATATGAGACATAGGGATTCACATATGTTTCAGGTTTGTAATAGCTTTAGTTATTGGTTTATTTTAAGAAAATCTTATTCTGTGCTCACCAATTATTAATATTATAGCATCGAAATCTTCAAATTCTTGGTGCTTTCTGTGTTGGAGTCTTTGGTGCTGTAGCAATGTCTTCAGTTACTGTGCAATTTAGAGTCCCCCATGGAATGTACGTATTATATTTTTATTAAATCTTCATGTTACATTATATAATTTTATTAAAATCACTTTTTAATTTTGTATTCAGTCTTGGTACTACAATATATACTGGTTTAGTTGCTCAAGTTGCGCTAGGATTGTTGGCAATATTTGGTTTAGCACATGTTGAATCTGCTTGTAAGGCATAATAACAGTTCACAACTCCCCTTTTTTTTTTTTTTTGATATTTTATTTAATTATATCATTTTATTTAGCAACTGGAATAGTACGTGGGTTAAAGCATACTCATTTTTATTTTGGCGCAATATTGATGTCTTGTGCATGGTAATGTTAAAATTGTAATAATCTTTATATCAAATTTTTATTAAAATTTATTAATCTAATCCTGCTTAATTGCAAATAGGATTAATGTATATCTTGGAATGGTTCAATATGGTGTAAATTATAATGTTAACACACAAGTTGTGATTTATTTATATTTGGCTTGGTTTGGTACTTGTTTATATTTAAAGTGCAAATGATTAAATTTTATTTTATAAACTGTATCTATTTTTTTTGATATTAATTAATATATTTTATTTATAACCTTTATTATACTTTATTATAGTTTTGTTGGCCATGATCTTTTTGGCAAGCGAATTTTATTACAAGATTAAGAATTTACAATTTTTATGGCCAACTCGAATGTTGAATGATACAACTTTACGAATTCATAGAAGAATTCCTGAAAAAGTTTATGAATTACTTCCTGCTTATACATGGAGTGTATGTATTTATTGCCATGAATTTTAATGAATGTAAATAAAATTAAATACTGTATATCTGCAGATTTTCAATATTTCTCAATATTTTAAATTTTTTTTTTTAGGAATTTAATGAAAAGGTTTTGTCTGGTGCATGCCTTGTCGTCGCTGAAGGACTGGTTTTCGATATTCATAGTTGGATCAAAATTCATCCCGGTGGTCAGAAAATTTTACGCAGAGTGGTATGTACTTTTTTTTTAAATACTGTACAATAATTCGAAACCAATTTATTATTATTTTCTAACCATGAAAATTTTTAAAGATCGGAACAGATATTACTAATGACTTCTTTTTTGATCCAAATGTACAAATGGTTATCTCAAGAAACTTTGATAAAGAACATGAATTGTTACAATCAAATACTATTGATGCTACTGAATATTCAAACATTCAGTTAAAACATAAGAAACCCAGCTCTGGTGTTCCAAGTTCTGTTGCAAGATCAATTGATTTACTTAATAGTATCACTTTTAAAAATACTAGAGTCGCAATGCATAGGCATTCTAAATTTGCAACCGCTAAATTGGCCACTATGGTTATTGGTAAAAAAATTTTTTTATATAAATTTACTTATTACTTATAAATGTAAATGTATATGAAATATTTTTTTAATTTGTATGTAATAGCACGCATTTCTGATTATGATGATGAAAACATTTCAAGACCGGCTGTTGATGGAATATTACCATATTTAACACCTAGTAAATCCAGAATTTCACCTGAAATATTTAGAAGATATATTCTTACAAATATTGAAGATGTTACAAGATATGATTCTGAAAATCCTGTAAAGAAATTTACTTTTCAAGTTATTCATCCATATGAAAAATTACCTGAAATTTTACCTGGTGATTATATTGAAGTCATGAGCTATGCAAATAAAGCAACTATTGTCAGACCGTATACACTACTCAAAGGACCTTCTAATACTACTTTCTCGATCATTGTCAAAATTTATAAAGATGGAGCTATGTCTCAACATTTGGTAAAATTTTCATTATATTTATTTATATTTTTTTATATTCTGTAATCTGTTTATTATAATTTTTATAAATATTTGATTAGGGTAAACAACTCAGAAATTTTGAGATTGCAGTTAGAGGTCCATTTGATGTATCAGAACGAATTGAACAGGCTGGAACTCCATATTCTTCTGAAGCAGGTTTACGACGTAGACAACGTGCAAGTATTATGAGTACATCTGGCCGTAGATATACAAAATCAAATACAGCTTATAGTGGATATGGAAGTGTTTCCAGTGATGATAACAATAATAGAGCTCCATCTAGTAGAATTTTATTAAATAATAATAGGGAAGATAAATGTTGGGATTACCTTTTTCTCGTTTGTGGTGGTACAGGTATACATCATCATCATTATTATTATTATTACTCAAACTATTAAAATTATATTGCTCACTAATTTTAAATAATATTTTTGCTTTAAACAGGCATAACACCTGCACTTCAACTGGTGAGCCTTTAATTAATTATTGTCCTTTTGAAAATAATTTATATTACTAAAATTTTACTTTATTCTGAAATAGATTCAATATCATTTAGAACAAAAAGATTCAAAATTCCATATTCATTTGCTCACAGCCAATCATTCGATTGCCGATATAATTAGCTTTAAATATCTTTTATATCTTCAAGATAATAGCGAAGGAAAATTTACTGTAGAGTTTATTATATCAAGAGCACCACCAACATGGAAAGGTTATGTAGGAACTATTGATGATAATTTATTATATGAGTGGATTAGTAAGAATTATCACCCTCTACAACCACCTAAAATTCCAGAAAGACCAAATATTATGCAATTACAGCCAAATCAATCACTTACTCATATACAGACTGATGATATTTATGTTGATGATCCTATTAATCAATCTGATGATTATATACTTACCATGTCACCAACATCTATCGATCAACCTGGAACTCCACTATCTGGATCTCCAATTACAACTCCAATTCCTGACTTTAAAATGCCTACTTACCCTCCGACGAATGCAATGATACTTCTTAATGAAAGACATGAATTTATGAAACTTTTAGCGAATGATACTTTACATCAATTAAAAGTTATGGTTTGTGGTCCCCCTGTTATGATGGAAAGTGTTAGAATAGCTTTAAACAAGATTGGTTTCCCAGATGAAAAAGCTATCTTTATAATTTGAAATTCTCAAAAACATTTATAATTCTGATAATTTGTTTTTAAAAATTTAGTGCAAAATTTATAGCATAATTTCATTTTTCAAAAGTGTTACTCAGTTTGCATTATTAGAGTTTATAATTTTTTGTAGTTTCTATAGCTAGCGTTATTCAAACAAACAATAAGAATTAAAGAGTAACTTTTCTAATAATAAAAATATTATATTATTATCAAAATACAGTCAAACCTCTTTATAGTCACATACTTTGGACGAAAAATGTGTGTTTGCATAAAATGTGACGATTATAGAGGTCAAATTTGCTATATTTATTTAATAATAGCTTGTTTTTTAAAAAAAATATGCCTATAAAGATGTGCTTATATAGGAGGTGACTATAGAGTATACTTGCCGGACAAACTTTTGGGATTTGTCCATGGACAAACCTGGACAAATGGGATTGTCCGGTCAAGTCTAAAATGCAATGTGGTAAAACCGGACAAATCACAAACCCAAATCCCAAGTTACCAAATTCCAAATCCCATTCCAAATCCCAGATCCAAAATCCCATCCCATGTCCCAAATCTCAAATCACATTATAATTATTTTGGCAATGATATATTAAGAGCCTATACGTACATATCTTTAGTGTTGGTAATTTTATTGGCCAAACCAAATTTGTTTGGCATTTACGCCAAAAAAAAAACAAATGAATTTGGCGGAATTACTGTTTTAGGCCGGCCAAAAATATGGTTGGCCGGTTAAATTGTTAACACTGCATATCTTGCATGATATAACGATTCTACCTCATCTGCAATGTGATTTCACACAATTTGTACAAATTAAATGTCATAATGTTCTAAAATGTATTTTAGATAACTTGCACGATATTATATAATATAGCTATAATCTTGCATGAGAATATCAATATGTTAAATATACACTAGGTTTAACTTGCATAAGGTACATCCTAGCATAAAATTTGGATTGAGATTTTAGATTCGAAAACTTGAGATTTGGGATATGAGATAAGGTTTTGGATTTTGGGTTTGGGATTTGACAGCCCAAATAGGGATTGTCCGGTTTGGGATTTTGATTTTTCCACATGTGATTTGGGTTTGGGTAGGATTTAAAGATTTGTAATTTATGTAGCATGTATTCTATAGAGAGGTTTTATTGTATAGTAAACTTTTGGTGCATTTTAAAAGTAATTAACATCATACCATCATGGCGAATTTATGAAATTTAGCTAAAATTTGGTCACCAAATCCGAGTATTTTGTCCCCAAATTAAATCTAGTTACCAAGTTGCATATTAATACATAGTGTAAACGGTCTGATTATACAATATAACTTTATAAATAAAAATAAAGTTTACGTTATTAAATTAATAAAAATTATTTGATAAAATTTATTTGATAAAAATAATTTGATTATATTATAAAGATAAAAACAAATAATAAAAATGATAAATCTGCCTTTCTAAAATCCTATTTAATTGATATGAATATGATTTTTTAAAAAAAAACCTAAATTATAACTTATAAGTTAATAGTAGTGACCGTAGTGACAATCTTTTCTTTTGGAATTTTTGAAATTTCACTATTCACTGTAACTGTATCAGCAGTTAAATCAGAGAGTGCATCGTGGATTTCGAGCACTATTTCAGCATGTTCGACGTATTTTGGCTCCATTTTCCCCGTGATATTTCCTTGTGAGCGTACTTTCGCATCTATTTTGTAATGTGAAAGTTCTGTCCGCCATTGAAATCTCCAATTAGCAGTGGGATTATCTCTATTATTATAATCGTCAAGCAAAAGTTTTATGTTATTTTTAAAATTTCTAGCGAGCTCCTTTGCTTTCTCTTCAATCCTATAATTAGCAAAAATTGTCAACCCGACGATCAATGCTTCAAGAATTCCAGCGGCAGCCATAGCGCCACCACCACCACTTATCGCACCAGCAACGAAAACCATAAGAACAATAACACCAATTAAAGTAGCCAACATGCCGCTAAGCCTGTTCAACCTTTTCTTCATTTTTTCGCTCATCAGAGGATATCCCTGCATATGATGATTGATTTCATTAAGCCTTTCTTTGAATTTATCGCGAGGTAAAAAACCATGGAGGTCAAGAACCCATTTTGCTTTGAATTTTTTTTTAGGGGTAAAATCACAACAACCTCTTTTTACTTCTGAAATAGTGAGTATTACTGTTTTCATTTTGTCAAGTATTATTGAAGTTTTATGCGATATAAATTTCTCACTAAAAAAATGGTGGTTATATTTATAATGTTTTTTTCGTTATACGCATAATACATAATTTTAAAGAACAGTGGTATAAAGGAGTCTGTTATATTTAATATTATTATAAATTAGGTAGCTCACGAAAGAAACAACAATATTTTTTGTAATATTGTACATGCTTTTGATTTCTTTGCAATATAAATTTTGTCTAAATATTTGGTTTATCTTTATTGTGTGTTTTTTTTTTTGATAATCAGGTAGTTTTCTTGGCATTCATGCCATTAATAATAACATGTTAAAATGCAACCTATATTTTTTAACTTTGGAAAAATTTTTATTGATACAAATCCATCACGTGATTTGGCATGTGTATGAAATTTAAAACTTGGCATGCCAAATTTTTTTATCATGCTACTATGTGAGCTATGTTAAGACAGAGTTTAGCCTAAACCCATACAAATCAAATTTTACATATAATCCTTATACTATAATTCTATTCCGACGAACAGAATATCAATCTAATGCTTAAAGAAAAAAACCAAAAAAAAAAATCGTAACATAACATAATGTAACGTAGTTTGTTTTGCAGTACATTGTTTGCATTGTATGCATTATAAATTACTAAACTTGTAAATTGTAAATTTAATGAGATATTGCCTGTTCTGTAATGAAATGTTTACATTGTAAAACATCTATATACTTCGCCTTTTTTGGATAATAATAAAAAAATCAAAGAATTTGTACACATAGAGTTATAAACATAACTGTCAGAGCATCGTATACCTTTATTTTTTTACCAAATAAAAATGAAAAAAATTTGTACTTAGGCCATATAAAATTAATTTATTGGTTCTCATAACTCAAAATTTTAAAAATGACTCGGCAACCCTACTTTTAATTTTATTTTCAAAAAAAACCTGTTCTGTAATGAAATGTTTACATTGTAAAACATCTATTTACTTCTCCTTTTTTGGATAATAATAAAAAAATCAAAGAATTTGTACACATAGAGTTATAAACATAATTGTCAGAGCATCTGTATACCTTTATTTTTTTACCAAATAAAGAATAAAAAAAATTTGTACTTAGGCCATATAAAATTAATTTATTGATTCTCATAACTCAAAATTTTAAAAATGACTCGGCAACCCTACTTTTAATTTTATTTTCAAAAAAAACAACTTTAAATTTTTTTTATAAAAATTTAAAAAAATTAAAAAAAATTTTTATGAGAACCAATTAATTAAGTTTGTATGGCCTTATAGAAAATTATACCTAACGAAAATATTATTGATTTAATGAAACGTTTCATCATGCTAATCGTTTGACGAAACGGTCAAAAATACCTTATCCGAAATACCTCCAATTTTCGATCTGCTCGCAAGTTACATTGATTTTCTATTCTGTAAATTTCGGAACAATACATATATTTTATCAATAAATCGGATACTTTCGTTCTTCGGATAATACCGGATAATATATCAATAGGAAATTTGAAATTTTTTAAAAACGGGAGATAAGATAATGCAACTAAAAAAAAATTATTACTACATTGATAGATCTGTATACATTGTGAAAGAAATTAACGATATTCATATACTTTATTAACTGTCTTTGGGTTTGTCATTTGCCATAGGTTTTGACACTCGTCAATTCATCAATCAGAAATTGCTTACGAAATCATTATCAGACATCATTACACTTATCATAAATTAAAAAATAAACTGTTATACAGAGCATTTATTTATTCATTTATTAAGGTAAGTATACTATAAATCGAAGGTTTTAAGGCCTGTGGACAAAGTGAGAAATAAAAATCAAAGCCAAGTAAATTTTCAGGCTGTAAGAATTGTTAGGTATGTCAGTAACTTACGTGTAATTAATTTACAAAATTAATATAACTACAGCACTTAATTGTGCTGTGTAGTGATATCACAATTATTTAAATGCTGTATTGCCATGATGCTTAGATGCTGAGACATTACATGCTGTAAAAGACTAGAAGAGACGTAATGAAGATTGATTTGAGATTTATGTCTTCATGAGAACAAATTTATTTAATTAAATGTTCACAGAAATTATTTATCTTCTCAACTGTAGAATTTATTTATATCCCAGTTTTTAAAATATTTATTTCGGAAAATATCAGACTTTTCAATTTTTGTCCCAACCTTTCTCGTCTTTTATGTTCATTCATTTTCTTTTCGAACGATTTCGGAACTTTGCTCGATTTCTAATTTTAATTCCATCCTGCATTATGATATTATACTTATATAAAGAACATATTTTACGAGTATTATTATGTTCTCAATTTTTTTTCATAGAGAACATTTACAGAATGTCAAATGTTCAAATCTAAAGGTATGTTCTCATGAGAACATAAGATTTCTAACACTGATAGGCATCCGTAATGTGTACCAGGTCAGTATACCATAGTAGCTAATAGGAATTAATTCTACTGAGGACCTATGCAGTTGATAGTAATATTATTATTGATATCTTGGCATTTTTGATGTACGTAAAACAAATAATAAAAATATTTTTTAAATACAAATACAAACTCTTTGTAACAATATAGGTTAATCTATTATGGTTTATGCTGATCGAATAAAAATTACACCAATTAAAAATTATATTAATCAGTGTTGTTTATTGGAGTACTACTTAAGGAAGTATAGTTTGGAGGACATGAGTAAATACTTTATTATCATACTACATGTATGTTAAATATTCAGATGACTAAATTAAATTGTCTTACGTACTTATGGCATAATAAATCCATAATATGATAACGTATTTTATGTGAATACAAACATAAATCCTAAAATTTAAATTTACTTGTATGATTTAAAAAACGCATACTATAAAATGGAAATTAACAGCTTTTAAATTGTCAATGGTGTGAAGATTTTGTATGAGGAGGATTTTAGAGCTATTTAATGATAAGAGATTGGTGTAATGACAAAAGTAACATTGCACGAAATAATTAGCAAGTAAATGAATTAGTTAGTATATTTATGCTTAAAATTAATTTTATTTTAAATTACATTTGTTTAAACACAGTATTTATATTAATATTTATAGATAATTTGGCAAGTGATGGTACAAAATGACAATCTTAATTGAATTCATGAACAATAAAATGTTGAAAAGAGAATTCAAAAAAGCAAAGAGATTGGTTAACTAATGATGAAGTAACAATAAAATAAAATGTCTACTAGAAAAATTAGAATATGTTGAACCATTATTACAACTTGAATAAAGAAAGTTGAAATCTAAATATTTTTAACTTAATTTAAGAGTATAAATATGGTTATGAAATTAGTCATATAGCTTATCTAATTAATATTTGCTTTTTTAGTTTATTGAAAAAATAATTTTGAATTTCGTCAAATCATTTGCAAAAAAAAAAAACTATATAATTGCTTTAATAATATTATAGTGATAAACAGTGTTAGTTTAGCTAAGATATTTTATTATCATATATATACGTATACTGTGCAATTTTTTTATTTTCACTATCATGTGCACTACTTTGTGTTTTCGGTTATACTTCTTTAGGTAATATCTCTTTTATAGGGTGTCCATAATTCTGCAATTTTTATCCGACACTACTAATATTATTTGTGCAGAAATTTTCTTGGCTTACAATATGTTAATCAAATTCGTACGTGTGTTGGAAAATTTTGTGTTCGAGTTTTCTTTGTAATATTTTTTTATTATTGTATTAGTATTCGTTACTATATTTGTTAGTATGGTTGTATAGAGTGGCTGTATATGGGAGATCTGGGTTTGGAACCACTGATCATGGGTTGAGACCATAGATCTTGGTCTAGGACCACCGATATTGGTTTAAGACCACAGATTTTGGTCTGAGACCCCCGATATTGGTCTGAGACCACGAATCTTGGTCCAGGACCACTTGATCTTGATTCACGTGGGTGGGAGGGTAAGGGTGCGAATCTTACTTGCGTTGGTGGGGCCTATTGCTTGTATCGTGCTTACTCTTATATAGCCTTTGTCAATGATCTATTGTTAGCTATAGCATTGACTTCCAATTTAAGCAGTTAATTATAATTCATTTAAATCATGCTTATCTGGTTTTCATGTGCTTCTGCTCGATTAATCCATCTATCCGCTCAGCCAAGATTACCGGCATCCTTCAGGATCTAACTGGTTTGGTTCGGGGCATACCAGCTTAGCCACCTTTTCGATCTGTTGACTTAACGTCAACTTGAATTGTCACAATTAGTCGATCAAACACCCCACAGCGGTAGTTGTAGATCATAATCACGTGAGGTCTTCGCATTGCTATCGCATCCACGGAGTCTAATCACAACGTGAGATCCCTGTGCTACTATCATAGTTTCGGACTTAATTGTCAAGCATGAGGTTCTTGCATTGTCTGCGGCAGCCATTGAGACCAATCACAACGTAAGGTCCTTGCATTGTTGCAGCCACGAAGCCCAATCACAACGTAAGGTCACAAAACATAGTTGTGAATCCTATAAAAAAAAGTCAAAATTCTATTCAGATTTTGTTCATATTATTATTTTAAAAAATGAGCATTTTTGTAATAAAAATTCTAAATAGAATTTTGGCTTTCTTTTTATAGGGGAGCTCTATCACCAAATCTGAGGTTCTTTCATTGCCTGCAGCAGACATAGCGTCTAATCAAACCATGAGGTCCTTTTATTGTATAATACAATATCAAATATAGTACACTCATCTCTAACTCCCTTTAAACAACTCAAGCGCCTAGTTACAGTATTAATTCGATGATAGATCAAAATCAAATTTCGTGTAACTTTATGAATTTGTACATTGTTGCAACCGTGGGAGAGACTTGGCTAACGTGAGGACAAATTAGCTCAGGGTTGCAAGCATAGGTTATGCGAGATGAATGTTCTTTTGGGAATTTGGAATTTATGATAGCGGGTTATTAAGGAATGTATTTATTTATTTAATCGGAGCAA